CCCCTGTTCCCCCCTCACCCCCCTCATACACACTCGCCACAGGGATGTTTGCCATTACTGGCGGACGAAGGAAGTTATTGATTGTTAAGTCACGTGGTGTTTCCATCAGAAGAGATACCTGTCACCATAGCATCTCAGCGTAACTTGCTCCGTGACATTGAACTCTTTGTAACGTAACATTTTTGCATTTGAGACAATTTCCTCCTTCCCACACACGCACTAACAAAACCCGGAACAAAATGAACAAACCAGATGGAATCGCTTTCACAGGAGAGGAAGAATGACCCCCCCCCCCCCACTATAGTTAGAATTAAAATTTCTCTGTTGCTGCGGGAGCCTTTTCCCAGGGGATAAACATCCTATCTCACGCAAGGGAACCGGGACTGGGATGATGACGTCAGGCCATAAATTTATCCTCACCTCTTGAAACACCGCCCACGAACTCACTCGAAACACGGATTCGTCTACAACAGTGCGGTGAAACGAATGAAATAATCAAATGTACAATGAGCTGCTTTTCATCCGTGGCCAGCACATGAAAATGATTGTCCTATCACACTGGAGATTTGATCTCGAGCTCTTGTTTCACATTGTCTTACTGTCTTCGGATTAGATTAGGATAACCTGTCCCAGCCCCCGCAATTCCCACTCCAGTTGTGTGCGGCTATTAACTTGACACCTTTTGTTCTTGCGTGAGCGAAGAGAGTAATAATTTACTGAATCAGCTGATTCGGAAATCTAAGTCTCAATCTCAACAAAAAAAACCCTATCCAACAAAGATACCCCCCCCCCAACCTACTCACAAAAAAGCACCGAGCAAATCTATAAAAGAATGACAAATACACAAAGAAACAAATAGTATATGTGAGGCAGCGTGGTGGAATCAGGCTCTCGTCATAATAATCAGAGTGAAGAAACTTGCATTTTTTCGCAGGTTTAGGAATTTTTATCAAATTTTCGTTTTTTGGCTCAAAATCTTTCATGCCCATTAAAGAACTCATTTATGTGTGGATTTTTCTTAAAAACTTTGATTAAAGGCACAACAAAGGTTGATTTTCAGTTACCACGGACTCTTAAGCTAAGGAAATAACTAATCTTTGGCGACCATTTTCTCACTAATTTTAACTCTGAAAACAGGTGACCCCCACCTCCTTCATTCGCAAATATCCCGATTTGTTGTCAAGATAAATGGATGTTTTTTCATCCAAATAAAGACAAGTGAACAACCTTTAAGAGGATACCAATAACTCTACATGCCTCTAACTTGACGAGAGCCTGATTCCACCACGCTGCTCACATATCATCATCATCATCATCATCATCATCATCATCATCATCATCATCATCATCATCATCATCATCATCATCATCATCATCATCATCATCATGTGTACTATAGGCCTATATGAAAAAAATGTAAATGAATAAATAAGTGAACAGATAAAATATACGTATATTAATAAATCTGTACAAATAAATTATAAACACCGCCAAAAGAACAAGTGACCTAATTAATAAACACAAAGAACGTTATAATTCTCCTTTTTATGGAACCGAGTCAATCAATAATTTGATCAATGGTACATTTCCCCGACTCGAAAACAATCGCATAGCTTAACAACATTGTTGTTGCCGGTCATTCCGGCCCACTGCGCGGGCAGTCCTGGCTGGCAATCCCATTACGGGATGTATTGGCAACGAGTGGCTTCTCGTTATACGTCTTGTCGAACGTGATCATATTGACTGATATGTTCCCTGTATGTCCGCAGCTCCCACTGAAGACATCACGCCCTCGCCCTTTTCGTATAACTCTTCTCTTTTGTGGGGGTAGAAAGGAAACCCGGCCTCATTTTCATTTATATTGCTGCTTCCGGTTCCTGTCAACTATGACAATTATTATGAATTCTGAGTACTCGCTCTTCTGTTTGTTCGAAGATGCTAGATTCTGACGAGCGAGATGACGAGTACTAAGGAGTAAAGAGCTTGGGGGCATGGGGAGGCATCCACTGAGGGCCCACACGCTCTACATTCTCTTCATCTAGCCTCTTTTCTTTTCTTCCATCATGACACTTTTCTCCCCCCCAAAACCCCTTTCCTCATTTTCTTTTTAACCACACTCCCACCCCCTCTGCTGACATCTTTTCTTCCTCCTCTTTTTTTCCTTCACCAGCCCAAGGCACCCTTCACCC